GTATAATGAGACTGACCAAGCAGTTCCCTAGATCAGTGATTCACAATCCCATCCTCAAGGACAATGGAAAGTCCATGATTTAAGCATTTCCAAACTCTGCTCCACTGCTGAGAAAACCTGGACCCCTGGTGTATTCTAGAAGCGCATGTCCCCTAAACGCCCTCCAGTGTCCCAGACACCTAACACACCTTCCTTTGATTGAATGGTTCACCTCTTGTCTGTGCTGTAACCAAGAGAAGAGGTTAGATCGATGACATGTTGATAGGGGACATTTCCTTACTCCTATGGCAGCAGGAGAGGGTGTGGAGACTTTGAATGCCGTGCAGTCCTACAGTTTCTGTCAAAAAGATTTGGGAACAACTAGATGTTCTGCACTTAAAAGCTTATTGCAATCAGCTGCAATGGTTATGGTACTTGGAGTTTCCATTAAAATCCGGACCAAAACAACCGTCTTTCTATAACAAAAAAAAAAAGTCTGTATATAAAAATGTTTTGAAAAAAACAAACACAAAAAAAAAAAAATTAGATAGAGACGTTGTTTCTCACAATAGCAGCACACCTCAAAAGAAAACAGGTGTCTAAACAAATATCAATATGTTATAAAAGTAGATGCAACATAAATACATTGCTACTAAAATAAGAAACATTAAAAATGCTACAATATAGCCGTATACAGTGCTGTTCCTCCTAAAGATATATGAAGTTCTCCACCGAGAACAATAAATAATAATACATGATTAATAAAACACATCATAGGGGAAATAATACTGAGAAAGACCAGAGTGGGGAGACCTGTAAAAGCCCCAATAAACTCTTAAGTGCTTAATAATTTAAAAAGGTGATACATGATAGATACACAGGCTCACCTTGCTACTGGACTTAATCACACCACTTGTAGATAAAGGAAACAGCAAAGACTGAACAGTGTTCTGCATGAATTAGGATGCCAATGGCATCTATGTGCTCTACATGAATGGGGATGCCAATAGCATCTGTGTGTTTCATCTGATACATAGTCTTTGTATATACAATTGTCTTGTGACTACTGATGTTCTTTTGACATTTTTCCTACGGTATGTCATATCACTATCACTCAATCCTTTTTTCTCTGTATAGTTCTAATCCGGCCCAGGCTTCTTGGGTTTAGAATCCCATCCTTCCACCCAGGGCCACCATCAGAAATTGTGGGGCCCCTAATAAAGCTCAAGGTCTGGGTCCCCGGGTGCCCTCCATATCCCGCCCACAGGAATACACACAGACACAAAAGGACACAGACACACCCACAGAAAGATACACACATACTAACAGACACAAATACTGAAACAGACATACACACATATAGACACATACACAGATACAGATACACACACATTGTGACATACAGACACATGCACACATACATACAGACATACATACATACTGACAAACAGACATACACACACACACACAGATAGATATATACATACACAGATACATACAGACATACTGACATACACACACACAGACATACATGCATACTGACATACACACACATACAGATACACATACACACACAGACATACTGACATACATACATACAGACACACACAGACGTACATACTGACATACATGCATACTGACATACACACTCACACACAGACATACATACACACATGCTTGCAGACACATACATACATACATACTGACAAACAGACATACATACAGACATATACATACTGACATACACACACCCATACAGATAGACACATACACACATACATACAAACATACTGACATACATACACACAGACATATATACATACTGACACACACACAGACATACATACTGACATACACAGACATATATACATACTGACATACACACACACATACTGACATACACACACACAGACATATATACATAATGACACACACACAGACATACATACGGACATACACCCACAATCACAGACATACATACATACTTGCAGACACATACACAGACATACATACATACTGACAAACAGACATACATACAGACATATATACATACTGACATACACACACACACATACAGATAGACACATACACACATACATACAGACATACTGACCTACATACACACAGACATATATACATAATGACACACACACACACAGACATACATACTGACACACACACACAGACACATATATATATATATATACTGACATACACACATACATACTGACACACACACATACTGACACACACACATACATATGAACATACTGACAAACACAGAGACATACATACTGACATACACACACACACACACACAGACATACATACTGACAAACAGACAGACATACAGACATATATACATACTGACATACACACAGACATACAGATAGACACATACATATAGACATACTGACATACACACACACACATACACATACATACATACATACATACTTGCAGACACATATATATACACACACAATTAATTTATCAGCCACCCTCCTCTTACCTTTAAGTTGCAGGAGGGTGGCTGGGGATGATGGGAGTGGATGCCTCTGGTGTCCTCTCCTGGCCTCTGTTCTCCCTCCGCTCTCCCTGTCCTCCGCTCTCCCCCCACGCGGAGTAAGCTGGGAGGAAGTGACCGGTTGTCACTTTCTCCCAGCAGCACTTGCGGTGTAGCCGCAATTTTTTTTAAAGGGGCCCGGTTGCACAATTACACGCCTGCAGCGCTGACCGGGCCCCTGAAGATATAGGGTCCATCGGGTGGCCCTAAATGCTTGGGCCACCTGATGGGCCCCGGTGCAGATGCACCTGCTGCAGTTTCGCAGCTCCACGTGGGGCCCTGGTGGCTGCTCCCCCTAGGGCCGCCGGGCCCGTGACAACCGATGGCGGCCCTGCTTCCACCGACAGGTGCCCCATTAGAAGTGACCACAGAAGATTTGAGGTGACTCTCTTGAAACAGTTATTAGGTTACTTTCAATATGGCTGTATGGTGTCTGATATATCAGACTGGTCCCACCCACACGGGCAGTCCAGATCCGAAATGCCAGCAAGTTCCCTCTGCACGAGAGACACAGCAACCCCAGACGATCGTTTCAGCCTTGTTAGGCATCATCAGTGAGGCATAGCTGATATCTCTCTAGGCACCGTGAGCAAAGGGTTCACGTCTGAATTGCCCTTTCAACTAATCGAGAGCAGAAATACAGGGTTCAATAGTATTCTGAGAATGGGCAGCAGCAGAAATAGCCTGGATCTGGACTGCCTGTATGGGTGGTACCAGTCTGATATGCTTCAGATATGTTCTCTCTGTAATGGCACAAGATGATCTAAAACCAGCATGAGATGTGAGCGTGAACCCACCAAAGGGCAGGCTATTTTAGTTGCTGTCCGTTCTCAGAATACTCTTGCGACCCATTTTTTTGCTCTCCATTAGTTTAAAGGATAATCCAGACGTGGACCCCTTCAGGGCACTATAGTGCCAGGAAAACCAGTATGTCCTTTAACAAATACATGTCAGACAGAAATGTCATGGATACCATGCACAATATGACACTGGTCTTTTGTGAACTGACACATTTTTTATTCTCTGTATATTTTGTGTGTGTGTATATATATATATATATATATATATTCTGTGGTTTATATTCTAAACCAGGCACCTTAAATGGAAACTAACGCTTAAAATAAAACTAGGTCAAAGGCATAAAATGATCAAGTATGGCCAGCCAGAGTCAGTTCTCATTGCTTCTTCACTTCATAAACCGTCTATTCTTGATCAAAACTTTCTCTTTCCATGAAATGTACAGATAAGAACGTGTTACCAAACGTTTTACCACTGTTTCCTATGATGTATATTTGATTCACACAACCGAAACAAACTATTGCATTGTGTTTGCAGCCTTTTTTTTCTTCTTTTTAACTATTTCCTTCTAGGACCAGTGTAATATATCAGATTACAGGTGTCTGCAAATAACTGCAGGAGAGGGCTCACAAACAAAATCCAGTTTGGTGTTGACTGACAGATATGGGTAGTGTGCTGGTATTGGGCAGATAATGACCTGAATTAAGCAAATTAACTGAATGGCCCATTTATGGAACATATAGTAGCATCAGGTTATGAAACTTGACGCACTAACAGTACCTTAGTTATAACTGTTGAACCTATGGTGTGGACGGTCTGTTTACAGCTCCACAGTCTGTAATAGAACAGAAAGCGCTATAACTGTACCTGGAGACTACAAGGGAATGTCAAGTGAACCTGCTTCACGGGAATGTGATCATTCAGGAAGTGCTAGTGCCTCTCATCTTGCTGAGTATTTATATAATCCATTGTGGTATCTGGATCCTATTTTACAGCTTACATCCTTGATTGGAGCTGTTCATATATTCCCGGTGGTGTCTGTCCACTCAGTCTATTCCAATGGTGATGCTGTACCATGTGTACATAAGTTGTACTATTGGTGTGTTTCTTCATTCACTTGTGTCTTACATATTCCCTAAGACCCATTATCATTGAACCAAGCTTCCGCTGATATACTATAGTGGGGATTACACCACTACAGTATTCTACAATGGGATACGCAGAATTGCCTTACTGCTGACGTACATTTACACAATTTACTGGTTTCGTGTTTGTCTTTTGTCTGCATCGGAAAAAACACAAAACCAGTAAATATTCTAAATAGTCTATAGATATTGAACTGTCCAGGCAACCACACATATATGTCACGTCAACTGAAAGACCACAAAAAAAAAAAAATATATATATATATAATATGTATGGCAGCACAAAAAAAAACAGAAATACAGAAAGTATGGTTGAACAAACACATAGCAAAAATGCCAAAATAGTTTGGGTTCCAAATACTCTACTCTGAGAGTGCTCACTTACCTTGTAAATTAAACAACAACTCTATTGTCGTGATAAGCGCTATCTCATAACAGCCTGGTAGAAGAGTGCTGCCCACTAGTATCTTGACGCACCGGAGCTCTGTGGGGGATGTTTGCTGGGCCCCAATATAAATCCACAAGTATAGAGCCACAGGCTACACAGTGCAGGGTAAAACAGCCTTAAACATGTATAATTAAATATACCATAGTCTTCACCCTGCACTGTGCAGCCTGGGGCTCTATTCTTCTGCATCCTCATAACAGTTAGACATCACAACTGCAGCTGGGACACTAAGACAGCTCTATACAAGAATCACACGAACATATACATTACTTGCCATATTTAACTCTATTTGCAGTTTTTTAATTTACAGAAATGCAGAACTAGGGGAAAGTAATTTGTTTCTTTGATTGGTGACCAATTCGTGCTGGAGCAAAGGGAAAGATAAATAGAGTTTTTTGGTAACAAGTAATTCTACCTCATTTTGTTACTGTTTTTCTCTATTACAGGGACACTAAGCTCCAAACCACACTATACCTTAATGTAGGGATTGCAGTGTGCAGCTATTGGCCTATTTGCCTGGAAATGTAAAATACTGCAGTTTCTAAAATAAAAAAAATAAATGTTTATATATATATATTTTTTTTATATCTTTTTTGTATGAAGGTACATATGATGAAACCATAGCAGACATTCATTGTCAATTCATGTACCCTATTTGTAGTTTTACAAGTTTGCATTAACTACCGTCAATGACAAGATATGTTTTGGATATTGTTCACATGGGGATTTGTCCAATCTTAAACTTCTTAAAGGGATTCTACAGGCACCCAGACAATGAGTTTGTTTTCCTGGCACTATAGTTTCCCTTTAAGTTTTGGGCGTGCAATTCCAGAGCACTGAAGCACATAGATTTATTTTTTTTAGCAAGGGAGAGCATTTATCTAAATGTATAAAAAGGACCACTCTAACACTAAAAAGATAAATATATGTAAAAATATAGTGTTCGTGTTAATAATAACATATAAGTTAGTCTTTAGAATTCGATTTGCATTACCTGTAATTACCTTTGGCATATACTGTTTGCCTTTGAGATTTTTTCAGAATTAATTTAGCAGTGCTGATTTTGAATTACCATTACATTTTTTTTTTCAAATATTTTATTAATTCTGTAGAACTACAGAACTATGAAAAAAAATGTTTTAAAAAAAGTATATTTGTGTTAAATGCAGAAATTGTAGAAAACCAAATACCAGTGCCCAGAACCGTTCCACTGTGTTACATCTTTCTCACTACCTCATTTATACAGGAAATTTCACTTCTCATTGTGTCCTTTATGTAACCTTATGCAACCTAAAATAGCAGCATTACATTACATATTAAAGATATACGTGTAACTTCTCTACAGAAATAAACAGAGGTGTATTATTCATAGTGCATAGGATGAGGCAGAGGCATCAGTGATGCCCACCGATTATCAAAGATAAAGAACACAGTAATGAACAGTTAAATCCGAGCTGCAGGGTCTCCTTACTGTAGTTCCAACAGTGTAACAAGCAGACAAAAAATGGAGTTCTGCGCATCAAGTAGGTAGTGCACACCCACGTGCTACTGCAATTTATTAGAGGACACAATATAAACAAACGTTTTCGGGCAGCAAGCCCTTCCTCAGTGCTACTGCAATTTATTAGAGAACATCAAGCACTGAGGAAGGGCTTGTTGCCCGAAACGTTTGTTTATATTGTGTCTTCTAATAAATTGCAGTAGCACCTGGGTGTGCACTACCTACTTGATGCGCAGAACTCCATTTTTTGTCTATCTGCTTGTATTATTCATAGTGTGTGGACAACTGAATTGCACAATTTGGGCCAAGCAGCCAACTTGAAAAACATTACCAATGAAACTATATTTTTTTCTTTTTTTTTCCAATTCGATAATTTGGGTCTACTTGCCCTTTCGTGAAAAATTCCCCAAATCCCAGACAACAAAATAATGACATACAGAAAGAAAATGATTAAAGACATGACATACGCTAAAGCACTGTGAATAGAAGCAAACTATTTTATGTTCATCATACTGTGAAGTATCCATATATTTGGCATTCATCAGCCAAAGTCAAATATTTGCTTTTGGGGAATTTCTTCTAAGCAGAGGTATAGTTGTTTAAACAGGATTTCACATCTGCAAGAACATATAACAATATAAACAAAGTGCTGCTTGTCTGTGGATAACACTAATCTCGATACAAAACCACCCTTTTTTTTTTTTCTCATTGAAAACTCAATTTTTAGTTTACACAATACATGCCTTTCTGTGTGGTCTCTTTGGCACCTAAAAAGCTAGGGAATTAAATAAGCTCATGTAAGCATACAAATGCAAAATCCCTCATGGGAAGATGATGTCACTTAAGCTTTATTTTATCCCATACAGAACATCATCATAACTCAGTATACTAAATAATTATCCCTCCCCCCCCCAGTCCTTACAGCAACACTGCTATTTATCATAGCTTGTGACAACAGTACTAGTCAACCTCCTTCCACTGAAGCCAACACCAATATGCTCTATGTAAGTCTATGTTTATAGGTCATGTGACTTGGACATTGAGCTTCCGTCACAATAGCTGGGACTTACTTTCCAAGACATTTGGGCAAGCAGTTACCATCATTCTCATTGATATCCCCACTGGTTCAGTAGGTGGCTACTAAAATCTCTACAAAAACACTGTTTGCTGCTCTCCCCTCTGCATGTTTTATATCTAAACCAGAGGCCATTAAATGCAGGATTAAACCTACATAGAAAAAAAATGAATGTCTACAACTTTCTGTGGTGTCTATGATTGTTTCAGCTTCATCAAATAGACCATTCTGAGGACTGGGTTTACATTAACATATACAGGCTGATAGAGGGAGCCCCACATGTAGATTCAAAAGGTCACCTTAACTAAAGGAGAGTTAAAGGACCACTATAGGCACCCAGACCACTTCAGCTTAATGAAGTGGTCTGGGTGCTAAGTCCCTCTAGGATTAACCCTGCCTGCTGTAAACTTAGCAGTTTCATTGACAGCCGCTAGAGGCGCTTCCGCGCTTCTCACTGTGATTTTCACAGTGAGAAGATGTCTGCGTCCATAGGAAAGCCCTCAGAATGCTTTCCTATGGACTGGCTGAATGCGCGCATGCACATTCAGCTGGTGACATCAGAAGAGGGAGGAGAGTCCCCAGCCCCGAGGGAGCACGGCACTGGAGAAAGGTGAGTGTTTAACCCCCTTCCTCCCCCTTCAGCGCCATGGGAGGGAACTATAGTGCCAGGAAAATAAGTTTGTTTTCCTGGCACTATAGTGGTCCTTTAAGGAGAGACATATGTAAGTAATACAGGTGCTGATGCTCAGACAAGCTTATTGAAAGACAGTACACTAGGTCCTTCCCTGAGCCCTGGTCTATACATTGACATCAGCAGACTTCCTCTCGATTGTATGGCAAGGAAGTAGTGACTGGTGAAGAACATTTTCTAGCTCTTGGCCTGTCACTGTTTCCTATACTTGCTGTGTATGAGAGGGGGCTTAGTAAGGTAGCAATCAGGAAAATAATGTCATAACCCCACCTTCTCGCACTGGTTCTGTCTAACATACTGCACAATGGGACCTTTTGATCTGGGTTGCGCATCTTCACCGGCTCCCTCCCAGCCACTGCACCACTAGACCAGCAGGTATGGAGGAAAGCAGGAATTATAGCACTATAGGGCTGAACCCGACGTGATTGTGAAGACAAAAGGTATTATCCTGTTAGGGTTAATGTGGTCAGGCTGGATGAGGCATTATGCAGACAGTTTAATGTAATAGTGATGAGCAGATGGTTGGGCTGAAAGTGATGAGGGGTTTGTAGAAATCAAAAAATTTATGGGATTTGATGTGATTTAATTATGGGTATAGCTTAATGTGAGGTTTGGTGATGACAGGATTATGCTGATGGGGTAATGTGATTAAGCTGAGAAGAAGAAGAAGGGATAGTAGGGATAAAGGTAAAGTGGTTGTGGGGCTATGGTGTGTGAATTCAGACATGAGGAAATGTGATGAGACATTGGGCATTGGGGTGATGAGGGTGTTTTAGGGATGAAGTAATTTGATCGTAAATGGGGGTGATGTGATGGTTGGTTGGGAAATTTATGAGAATGAGGTTGATGAGAAGATTATTGGTAATGAGCGTAATTGCATTAAAGATGGGGACTCAAGTTTGGCCTCACTAAGTCTAGAGTTGCCTCTAGAACCTAAATACCAATGGAGATAAGTAATAGCAGCATCATATTCTGAATAAAATAAGTCACAGGTTTGTAAGTCTGGAAAAGGAGTGTGAGAACTAAGATGCCTTATAAAGAATGAGAAAGGCAAGCAACTTTACTTTAAACCCATTGTTATAATTGAACCGACCTAGAATAAAACTGGACTAGAATATAATTAGACGTAGAACTAAACTGTTTTCCATGATCAGTCCACGGGCATCCTAACCACCTCATCAAAACTTCTTGGGCTGAGAAAGAGACTGTAAGGATATATTCCCTTGCGCTACGCCACTTACCTGATCCCGCTACCTCCCCAAGTAGGCATCGCATCAGTTTCACACCCCCAGACACCTCTGCCAGCATTACTGATGCCAGGCACTGTAGCTCTGCCGCTTTTTATGATGTCAATATCATGGCCACGTCATGATAGATTTGAACCAGAAATGGTGTAATTTCCGATGCAAAATCACATTTTGGAAGTGTGGCTATGAAGCCCCAGGCCCAAAAATACACGAGCTTTGCATCTGTTCAGTGCCCTCTTGTGGATTCCTTGTGATTTCAATAGCATGTTCCTTAGTCTGTGATATTATGGTTTTCCCAATGTGGCATATCTGACTGCTATCGTATTTCCTTGACCCAGCTTTGCTTATCATTATTGTGTATTTTTGGACTCCCTCAGCTAGCTTTGTTTCTTGATTTTGCTATTTTGTTATTTTGCCTATTATTGGCATTGCGTTAAGCACGGCCTCTTAAAGATCTTGTTATACACTGCTATCACAGCTCTCATGACACTTCCACCGACTGTTAACCACACAGCATCCCTACACATATCCTGAAACAAGTGTTGCTAAATTAAAATTCAGTATGGTCTTGTTTTTTAGGTCTTCTTTATTTACCTGACTAGTGATATAAAGTATTCACACAACTGTTTATTGTCTGCTAATTCCAGTATAATGGAATGACCTATGCCCACTGATCCTTTTTGGAACCATTTGCATCACCACGCACACTGTGCATTTATAATACCAAAGGTACAGGAAATATAAGATGAGCTACTGTGGCTAACGTGTGAATCTTTTTGCTTTCTGCATTATTTTAATGTTTTACTTTCATATTGTAAAGAGCAACAAAACATTTCTGAGGTGCTTGTTGTTTTGTATTCCCTTCGTATAAGGATAAAATGCTGCACAATATATTGGCATTATATAAATAACACATAATAACAATAACAATGAGATATTATAGATATCTGGTAAAAGTTTTCCAATAGTTCCCCAAAAATATGCCAATTATTCAGATAAACTTTTGAAAAAAAATTGTAGATTTTGTTAAGCACAAAAAAAAAAGTATTTTGGATGTAGTTGGAGTGGTGTACAACTTGAAATCATTGCAGTTCAAGCCACAGATATGGCAACTGAAATAGTCTCTGAAATACGTAAAATGTGATCTTTAAAGCACGCACATAGAAGAAGTATAAGAAAAAACCACAGATAGAAGTCACTATTGCCTACAAACTCAATTTCTTTTCGAATTGAGCATTTGTTTCCATTTCCTCTGTTTTCAGAGTTTACAGTACACATTGAATGATCTGAAATATAATGGTTTTTTTTTATCTACCAGCTAATCTAAAGGACATTGTACTAGTCAATGTATATTTTAAGAAATGCATTTTCTATCCTAACCACAGTGTTTTGAATCATTCTTGATTCTTTAATGTCTAACTAGCATCTGATTAAAAAAAAAAAAATGTTAGTTGCAACCAGGTGACTCATGATATTTCCAGAATTGAATCTTATTACACATTATTTATAATAAGTTACAGCACGGTTAACAGTACATTCATATAGATAAACTTTATTTTTAGGGACAGAGGACAGAATTCTGTGTCATATTAGTATAGTCGAAAGCAATTATAGTGGAAAGCATGATCTAATCTTAGTCTAGGTATTATCCACTAGAACACAGATATCATATAATTTATTATCAGATTTACATCTAGCACATTAAAAGAAAGTATATTTCATTCAGTTTGTGGATGTGTGAAGAGTGTGTCCTCTTTCATTTTATTTCTTTTTATTTGCATATTATAAAAGTACGGATTTTATAAATGAAAGTTGTTACACCTTCCGTCCTGTTACTTCCTGGTAGTTTAGCTCCATGGAGCTAAACTCAATATGCAGGTAATTATCCAGAGCACTTGCCTTACAATGAGTTCTCAATAATGCCATATTTGGGCTTCCCCCTAGAGCCCTGGGCTCTGTTCTGCAAGAGCTATGTGTGTGTGTGTGTGTGTGTCTGTGTGTGGTGGCTGAGTACCGTATGTTTTCGCATAAGACGTCCAGAGCTGTTTACTAAAGAGAGAACTCAAAGTTAATTCAAAGTGAATTTCACCTTTGAGGCTAGAATAGCCATACTGAAATCACAGCTGACCTCCCGCTGACTTATTTCGACTTTAAATTTGATATTCACTTTGAATTCTCACTTTAGTTAATAGGCCTATGTGTAGAGTCTAAAAGATTTATTTACTAAAGTGAATATCAAAATTAACGACAGAGTAGCCAAACTGAAACCATGGCGGACTTTTTTTGAGTTTAGCTTTTTTGACCTTAAAATTGAAATTCGCACTTTAATGAGTAACCCTGGGAGAGAGACTTTGTGTGTGTGTGTGTGTGTGTGTGTAGAAGAGTGTATTGTGAAATAGGGTTGTGTGTGGGTGGCTGTGCTGTGAGGTTCATTTGCATAGTTCATTTGCTCCCATCCTGCTTACCTTTATGCGGGATGGGGTATAATCCCTTGTGGTCCATTGGAGAGCACGTTTGGACGCAGGATCCCGATGCAGGAGCAGGACATGTGCATAATTGCCTTTTTGACATATGCTAAACCCCACCACACAATCCCCAAAAAGAAATTGCCACCATTTATTTTGGGTAAAAAATTATCACAGCTTTTATTGATTTGAAAATTAACAAGTAAAAAATCAAGTCATTGACATACAAATCCATTATCCTGCCTTTATACAATTATAACCCCCAGACAATGACCCTACATAAACAATAAATCCCAACAACATTATAAGACAATATAATTAACATTGAACACATAACCATTGCCACCAATGGCATCCATTTTCACGGGTAGGGATATACCAAGATACCTCTGCATCCCCAGGTACTGAGCTACCAACAAGCTCGAACCTACCAAACCAGTTCAAACGCCTACCTATTTTTCCTGAACTAAACATTTACCAGTTATTAATCTGACCTACCCCCCAACTTTTCTATCCATCCCCCTCCGCCGTGACCAAACAGGAGAAAAACTAGGGAGGGAGGTTTGGACAACAACAGGTAAGTGCAAATTAAGTTAAAATGTTCCCTTAACCTAAAATGGCTCCTTTTATATATACCCTGTAAGTTCCTTCCACAATGCAACCAAGCCAAAACACCAACGCCATTCTATGCCTGTCTCCTAGCAATGTCAAGGCCCACTCCCCTTAGCTATGCTGGTACATGGGCTACATTGTGGTCTGCACCTCTTTGGGTGCAGATCATTTTAACAGCTTCCTTGCAGTCCCAGCAATTAGTCAGTGACTCAGAATTCTGAGTCATTGAGAGGTGCTGTGGATATTACAAATTTCTTAAGTAGTCTGCACCCAAAAGAGTGAGGGGGCGCAGAGCCAAGCAGGGAGATCTTTGGAAAAATGCTAAAGACTTTTGAAACATATTTATGAATTTGGAAAATTCGTTTTAAAAATAAGACCTGGGATTGGCTCGCCTTTTCTATTTATTTATTTTTATGCATGTTGTAACATATACAGTAGTTGTCTCTTCTCAATATTCAATATGAAAGTATTTAAAATGAAATGTCCATATTTATCTATTGTTTCTCCGCGATGGTCTTGTATATTTAAATGTCCATTCACATATCAACACACCCTTCGTTTCTAGGAGGTCTGATCCCATAAGGCTGTAAATACTTAGTGGTCTGATGGTTTAGTTTCACATTGCATTGTCTACAACATTTTTGTCAGTCTTTTTTCTTTTCTTTTTGACAGAACATACAAAATGTTTGATATGATCCCTGTTACATCATATAACGTCTTTATCCCCACCACTGATGACTTCCATATTCGATGAATGGATCTATAAGTAAAATATGATTATAAACTATGTATATGGAACAGTACAATTCTACATGTTATTCACATCCACGCACCCAACTCTGAGCAGAATTTAGTATTAAGTAACAATACCATTGTTCCATGGGTTTAACATTCACAGGAGGTGGTTGCAAGTCGATTTCACTGGGTACATGTCTCAGAAGAATCTGGGGGATTTTTCATTGCGAAATAGTCACATGAGTCATAGAGTGTTGATATAGCCTGTAACAAAAATTATAAATAAGAGAAGGAAGTCATAGTAAAGCCAGCAAAGACTATGTGCTATATATACGTAATTATTAATGAAATGTATTGTTTTAGTTATTAACTGCTTCCTAACTGAGTTTTTCTCAAGTTTCTCTTTATTTGTGAGAAGAAAATTGATTGTATTTACTATACATTTTTTCCACCGTATTTTCATATGGCAATGGCAACTGGATACACTCTCACTATTGCCAGAAAGCATTTCTCCACTTACATATTGGGCTTCATCAGCTGGGCAATTTGTAGTGAGGCAGTGAGTCACTACACATTGCCCAGCTGATGAAGCCCTATATGTAAGTTGTGAAACGCATTCTGACGATAGTGCAAGTGTATTCAGTTGCCATTTTTTGCTATTTTATTTGTTTTTATATTCTCTAAATAAATATATTTTAATATATAATTGGCACCTTATTCCTGCCACTACTAAAGAAGGGAATGTGGTCCCTAATCACACACTATGCTTTATAAAGCCTAATATCGGCTCCACCCTTGTGAGTATTCACTTGTCAAATATTTTGGAATCTCTGTGCATTAAGTTACTTCTATGTCTGTGTTTTTTCTTAGTTATCATCCAGGACCTACTATGGGATTACATCATAAAATGGGGAAGGGTCCCCCTTATGATGCCCCAAGCAGTTACCACTAGAGCTACCGTATGTGTTTACTGTTTAGTTCATGAACGCGTGAGTGTTCAATCGTATTACATAATTGTTATATACTGTTACACACTATGGGATTACATCATAAAGTGTGGAAGGGCCCCCCTCAAGCTGTTCCCACTAGAGCTAAGTGTTTACTGTTTAGCTCATAAAAGTGTGAATGTTCAATTGTCTTACTGAATATTACATAATTGCTACATACTGTTACACACTATTGTATATATTTTTTTTATGTTTTAAAGTTAAAAGGTTCCTTTATAATTCAAAGAGATATTTTGTCATTACTTTGTCATTACTTTGATTGATTCCCACTGTGACCAGTCAATCTGAGGCTAAATCAACTAAACTGTTTGGAAAAGGTTAGCATTAGGGATACAGTTAGAGTTATAGGTTACAGTTAAGGTTAGGGCAAGGTTTACAATTAAGGCTCTGGTTGGCATTATGGGAGGGTTATAAATAGTGTCAAAGTGTGATACTGGTAAGTATGGTGGCACAGATAGTGTTACTACCAAATAGTGTATATGGGAAGCAAGGAGAGAAACATGTCCAAATTAGGGCACGTCCATAATGACCCTATAAATTGCCCCCATACCATCAAAGATATACATATGGTATACACATTGCTGTACTCGGCGGCAGTAGCAGAATACATATCAGGGTCTTAACAGTAGTGGGACATACATATTATATTAAATAAATCCTAAAAATCACGTTTGTGGAAAATCCACAAAAAATAGAATATACCCAGAAATTCTGGCTAGGTTGGTGATGAAATTGTTAAATAAAAACTGTCAGTATTCCATTAGTTAGATACCTTAGATGCACTAGTTGTGTTGAAGTTGTTATGAGCAAAGCTTTGAAAAAGCATTTAAAAAAAAAAAAAAGAGGAAAACATGTTCATAACTAGTCTTGTGTTAAGTATACAAATAGGATATCCAAAAACCAGCCCTAACCGTTCTTTACAGAATGGTATATAGTATGTTTGAGTACACTTATAAAGGGGAAGTGTTAAATTGTAGTGTAACAAACACATAGAAAAAAATTGCCAAAAAGGCCTCTATCACAAAAAGACAGCATTTGGGAAAATGGGTTAAACTTTACTTGGCAAAACTGGCTTTATGTTTACTTAACAAAAGTATGAATATTGTAATAAAAAAGGCACAATAATTGGAAAAAAGGTTATTTTTCACAGTTCTGTAATTGGTGTACACATAGTGGAGCTCAACTGAACATAATATATTATATTTTGAAGTAACAGGCCAAAAGGAATGAATGAAAACTGTTTGAAAACTAAAAACTGGGCTCGTGGAACTGTATGTTTAACAGTCATGAAATCCAAAATGGCTACTCAGGTTTATATTTTTTTGTAAGAAATTGATACCTCATTGTATTTGACAAGGGTATTTAGACATTTCTCATGTGAACATTTTGTCATCAACATCTGAAAAACCTTTCTTATATTTTTAGAAGATTTTGAGTTTTTTACATGCAACACATTTACCACTTGTTTTTTTACAGTGAAATTTTGTAATCTTCATGTGGGCCAAAACAAAAACTAACAACACCCAGTTTACGTTCTGTTGCATCTGCTGAGTAAAGCAACATCTTTATGTACAGCTTGTCAGTTGTTGGGTCAAATTAAATACCTGCCTATTTCAAATTTAGAAAAAAAACATATCATATTGATTGATTTGCAAAAGAAGACAGTCTGGACAATATATAGAATTTAAAATTTTTAGACAAAGCTGTTACATTACTACTTTCTGCCAAGTTTAGTCAAATTTTTATATTTTGATACAAAATGCATTTTTGATAAGTAAAATAGTGAAGACACTAATAAAGAAATACTCAAATGTTCCATTGTGCAACCTCCCCCAGAGTATAGTAATTCCCCTCATATAACCAAAAACTTACTTTTTTAGGAGAGCATATCAATTAAACTGTGACCAGCTTTCCCTCCCCGCACCCTGATTCCTCTCCTGAAACTATCAAAACAAAACACTAAGCCCTCAATGAATACTATTCTAGCAACCTACTTTTCTACCCTGCCCTTACCTTTTGTGTAACTATACCCCACTCCCTCTAGCATGTAAGCTCAGTCCCTGTGCATCAAACGCGTCTGGTTACAAATACGTGTCTGTTAGTCCACCCATTGTACAGTGCTACGGCACTTGTTGGCACTTTATAAATAATAATATTAATACTGGAACTGCAGGGAATTGTAGGGTCAACTAGCAGAGTTATTCCCTAAAGTCAGAATTCGAGGTGAATTCCTAGTGAAGTTAAAATTAAGGTCAAAATAGTCAAATTGGAAAATCAGCTATACTTTTAGCTACTCTAGTCTAAAATTTGAGATTCACTTTGAATTGAATTCTTCCTTTAGTAAATAACCCTGATAAAGTTATTTTAATGGACTGATTTTCTGGACACATGTCGACTTTGAGATGGAATAACAGGCTAAAATGTCAAATTACCCCTATTATTGCATTCTAATTGCTAAAAGAGACCCACCCAAATATCACATGAGCCTTGCCATTAGCTTATGTTTAATACTTTTTTGTATACATATTACTGTTTTATTGTGAAATTTTAGTTAACGATGTGTCTTGCTATTACTACTTTAAACCCCCAAATTTTATTCATCTACATGCCCTTCCTACTTCAGTAACCCACATAGATACCTTAACCCACATAAATATATATTCACTTAATTAGTTCTAACATGCATCTAACTTGCATTCTAGTGATATTATTGATCTGTATCAAACTTTGACACATATCAGAGGTATTATGATGTGCTTCTGCAAAAATATTAAAATTTGTATAACATTTTCAAACTAGTGTTTAACAATTACCCATTGGACAGAGTTTGATGATGATGAGCTATGCTCGTCAGCGTCATTCATATCTGGATTCAGCTGATTTAGTTCAATTGACTCTCTCTTGCTCAATTCTAAGGCATGAATCCCTTGAAATAAAAGGTAAAATCAATGATCGATTAAATCATAACAATATTATGTTTAAACCTAACATGTAACTGGCATGTAATAAACAATCTGGAAACAAAATATCTGTACAGTATAACTTTTTCACTATTTAGCAGACTGCTAGCAAGCTTAACACTCCAAAAAAATAATTTCGCAAAAGGTTTGAGTAATATAGATTTATGTTGTATTTTTATTTTTAAAATGTTTAACCAGGAAAAATAGAATGCATTAATATTTCTCTAATCTTCAAGTTTCTCCTGAGATTCTCATGCAAAACAATCTTGTTACAAGGTTAAGCATCTAAAGCAGGGGTCCTCAAACTCCGGCCCCCTAGATGTTGCTGTTGCTGAACTACAACTCCCATGATTCTCTGGCTATCTATGTAATTCAAAGAATCATGGGAGTTGTAGTTCAGCAACATCTGGAGGGCCGCAGTTTGAGGACCCCTGATCTAAAGGGACACTACATCGTAATATAGTAGTTTTGGTAAATAGATTTTGCCTCTTTTTTATCTGGCAGTGGTAAACAATGTTGTTTATCAGAAAACGCAGTGCTTACATTTGGCTAAAAACATCCCCTTATTGGCTGTTAGACATTTTTCAAAAGTACACTTTAATTTTATGGTTGTGAGTGGGGTGTGTGGCCAGAGGCGAGGTTGTTCTGAGTACTTTTAGGTGACTTACGAATAACATATTGTGCAACTATTTTTTGAACAAGAACAATGTATCTTATTTACACATTTTGATTTCTAAACACATGTATTGTAGTTTACAAAAACATTAATGTTTAGTATTATTTCTGTGGAGCTCTGTTATACAGTCGAACACCAATAATATGGAGCTTCTAGAAAAACAGAAACATTAGGAAAGAAACGAGGTTTAGAATTTTGAATTATCAAACTACATATCTCACAAGCGCCACTATTTCAGAGGACAGTCCCTATTTTGGGCC